GGGGGGGGGGGGGGGGGGGAAACAAGGAAGGGAGGAGAAGGAAGGAGAGAGGGCAAGAGGAAAAGAGGGGAGAGGAAGATGATGGATATGGAGGGGAGGAGTGAGAAGAGAGAAAGGGAGGGAGGAGGGGGAGAGCAAAAGGAAAAAGGAGAGAGGGAGGGTGAGGGGGAAATTGATAGGGGAGGGAGGGGTGGGGAAAAACGGGGAAGGATGGGCGAAAGGAAGGAAGTGGAGGGAAAGGGAAAAAGGGAGAGAAAGGAGGGAGGGAGGGGAGGAAGATGATGGATATGGGAGGGAGGAGTGGGAAGAGAGAAAGGGAGGGAGGAGGGAGAGGAAAAGGAAAAGGAGAGAAAAGGAGGGTGAGAGGGAGGGAGGGCAAGAGGAAAAGGGAGGGAGCGGAGGGGGAAAGGAAGGAAGATGATATGGGAGGGAGGATGGAAAGGGAGGGAGAGGGGGAAACAAGGAAGGGAGAAGGAAGGAAAAGAGAGGGGAGAGGAAGATGATGGATATGGGAGGGAGGAGTGGGGAGAAAAAGGGAGGGAGGGAGGAGGGAGAGAGGAAAAGGAAAATACAAAGAGAAAGGGAGGGTGAGGGAGGGAGGGCAAGAGGAAAAGGGAGGGAGGTGGGAAGGAAGGAAGATGATATGGGAGGGATGGGAAGAGAGAGAGGAAGTTATTGGATCGGAGCAAAGGTACAGACCTTCCTTGAACACGTGCAGAGGTGTAACCCTTTGCCAGCCGTCACCTGTGCTTCACAGGTGTGCTCTCCCCCCTCCCCAAAGAAGCCACCTGTGTGGCCAAGAACGCCCCTCCTCCGTTTGCTCACCTCATCCATCGCCCGGATCTCCAAGCGCAGCTTGTCCATCACGGTGATAAAGAGCTGGGAGGGAGGGAGAGAGAGGGGGGGGGCGAGGCCCGGTCAGCCAGCCAGGCCAGAGGCCCCTTGTGGACTGTGACCCCCCCCACTCCTCAGGTAGGTCTCTCCACCCACCCCCCACCCGCCCCCAAACCTACCGACACGATGTCCGCGATGCAACGGTTCAGGTTGCCCTTGTCGTCTTTGATGGTGATTGGCCGGTCTTCCTTGATCCGCTCCATGGCCAGCGGGCAGTCCAGCTGGGAAGTGGGGTGGGTGGGGGGAGGGCAAGAGGGCCAATTCTTACACAAATCCCCCCTCCCTCCCAAAAGGGGGCCTGCGATTGGCCCTCCTTCCTCCGTCGCTCCCCGTGCAACGCCCCCCCCCCTTCATTTCCAAATTTGCTTTCTTACCCGGAACCGGCGGCAAAAGTCGTCGATGGAGTTGATCTCCAGCCCCTGCACCTGCTTGAAGGCGGCCTTGTACTGCACCAGGAGGCGGGAGCAGGCGGCCGTGTACCTGGGCGGAAGGAAGGAGCCGCCGTTGTCCGAGGCCAAAGGGGGCCGGCGTGGCTAAAACACTGGAGAGGCGCACAAAACGCCCGGTTTCCCTTCCCGGCAAAAGGGGGGGGCGCCTATTGATCTACTCGCGGCGGGCATGCTTTCGAACTGCCTGAGGGGGCAGGAGG